TTTCATTGAATATGGAAGTAAGGGCATCAAACCATATACATAATAACTATAATGCCATAGGTGTTCTTTCATTGAATATGGAAGTAAGGGCATCAAACCATATACATAATAACTATAATCCCACAGGCATTCTTTCATTGAATATGGAAGTAAGGGTATCAAACCACATATATAATAACTATAATTCCAATAGGTATTCTTTCATTGGAGTTACAGGCTATTTCGTGCCATATTTTTGGAACGAGGTATAGTAGGTGAGGTGAGGTATAGTGAGGTATATGTCTGCATACAGTAACGAGGCGCTTTGCCGCAGTTGTGAGTTTGTGATTTGCTTGTTTTTTGTGGTCGTCGCGCCGCGTCCTGTTCGGTATAGAACTCATAGCGACCTATACAACGCATGTGAAATAAATTGTTTATTTACATGACAATCGAACATGCGCTGCGTGACGACCACCGCCCTTTATTAAGATTTTCTATGTATATGCAATAGAATGTGTGATATTTATCCTAATCATGTTGTACTTTCTTTATTAATCTCCATTAAGGGAATAAGAACGAACAAACTTCGTGTATACAATCTGGAAAAGGACGTGTATGTATTTACGCTGACCGTAACTGACAACGCTGGACAAGTTGATAGGTCACAAGTAACTGTTTCTGTTGAGTCAGGTATTTATTTTATCTATCTCTTAATTCTTGTTGCTCCCACCGGAACATAAGGTTCACACAAGATCCCTCCACTCAGCACGGTTTTTGAACTTGGTTTCTGCCTCTCCCCATGTTAAACCCATTTCCCTGAGTTCTTGCTCAATGGTTTTCCGCCAGGTGTTCTTCGACCTGCCCCTTGGTCGTTTTCCTTGTCGTGTCCAGCAGAGAACTATCTTGGTGTTGTATGAATCGGGCATTCTGAGAACATGCCCAAGCCATCTGAGTCTTCTAAGCCTTATTTGTGCAATGATTCAGGTGGCTGCAGTTCTTTTGAGTAGGTCCTAGATGAATATTCGACAGGGCCAGAAAACTTTGCAGATGCGCCGAGGCAGTTATGGTGAAAACTTGATAGCTTTTTCATGTCAACCTTGGTGACTCTCCAGCTTTTGCTCCTGTGAAGTAAAATGGATTTTACATTGCTGTTATAAATTTTGACTTTAATACTGATGTTATACTGGCTGGATTTCCATATGGGCCACAACCTTTGAAATGCAGATCTTGCTTTGGATAGTCTGATTTTAATGTCTTTTTGTGTGGGGTCCTGATTGCTCACGACTGCACCTAAGTAGGTAAATTGGTCCACCTGCTCAAATTCTGCTTCATCAATAACCAGTCTATTGTTGCATGTGGTGTTGAGCCTCTTTTCCTGGGTCTTCTTTGTGTTTATTTGGAGCCCAATTTGTTTTGTATAGTAGCTGAGTCGTCTGGTCTTCTCCTGCATTAGATGACAGGAGCACGATGTCATCTGCGAAGTTCAGATCTTCTAACACTGAGAACATAGACCAGGTGATCCGTCTCCTATGACCGCTGGTGGTATTATTCATTACCCAGTCAATGACTACCAAAAATAAGACAGGTGAGATTATGCAGCCTTGTCTTACACCAGAATGAACAGCAAACCAGTTAGCTGCTTTGTTCACTCAAATTCTGTGTAGAAGCATTTGATGAGGGAAACCATCCTGTCTGGTGTTCCATATGATCCAAGGATTGCCTGGAGGGTGTCTCGATGAATGCTATCAAAAGCTTTTTTAAAATCTATAAAGTTTATGTATAGAGATGATTTCCACTCTATACACTGAGAGCAAATATCTGGTCTGCGCATCCTCTTCCTTTCCGGAATCCCGCCTGTTTTTGCCTCAAAGTCAGGTCAAGTGTTTTGTTGATTCTATTCAGGAGGATTCTGCAGAAAACTTTGCTTGGGATTGAGAGTAAGGTAATTCCTCTCCAGTTATCACAGTTCCCAAGGTCACTTTTCTTAGGTAAGTTTACAATCAATCCTTTTGCCCAGCCACTTGGGATCTTGGTTTCTTTCCAGATGTGATTGAACAGGGTGTATAATTCATTGCTAGCTGTTTTAATATCTACCAGGCCAAACTGGTAGGTTCTTTTGTCTTTTCTGGCTGATCCTTCCACTTCCTTATCCTTCAGCATGTAGTTTCTCTGTGTTTGCTCTCTTAGTCTAGATGACTTAGTACTAAGTACTTCTCATGGAGTTTTCCTCTTTCCTCTACTGCCTTCAATGTGCTTGTTGTTAACCATTCTTTATTATCTTTCTTGTGGAATCCAATATCCATTTGTTGGTGCATAACATTGGATGATGTGGTCTTCGCATACTTGGAGTTGAAGCGAGCTCTGATTAGCCTTTCATTGACAGGTTCCCATTCAATCAAACTCTTTGTACAATCCTTGTTCATGATCATGGCCACTCCTTCCGTATGCTGTTCATCATTCCTGCCAGAGTATATAATGGTAAGGGCCTGCGTGGCTATCCGTCCTGAACCAATCCACCTGCTTTCGCTTTCCTCTTGATCAGTTGCCTATCAGGGCTAAAGAGTCGTGATCTACTCTTGTTTGTATGGAGTTGTCTCTCTTAGGTAGGCTACTTCCACCACTGTTAACGAATCCTACCTGTCCGTCAATTGACCCTTAGATGGGGGTTTTCTGTCAGGGTTTCCTTCGAGAACTAGGGACCGAGAACTAGTCTTAATATCGCGCCAGTAACTCACGCCCGTGTCGCGTTTGCCACGACCGAAGCCGTGCCCACCCTGCCCTATGTCCCCAATGGAACACCCACATTCGTGGCGTGGAGGTGCGACTACGGAATTCACCCTGCCCCAGAGACACACAAGGCAAACCAGTAGGCGAGAGATCATAAGCAGGGCATTTTATGTATATAATATTTAATTTATTACTTTAACAACAACACAGATGAATGTACCAATCTTTATAGTGACACTTTAAAAAATGTTTGAATTATTGTCAATCTAACTGTTATATATATTTTATTTAATGAACATTTTTATATTGACCGTTGTGATACTAGCTCTACATTTTGTCATTCATGTTCCAATGTTCCAATTAGTGCACGGAGTTGTCAATTGTGAAATTACTAAATATTTATAAAAATCTATTATGTGTTGTGTCGACGATAGTAGCTGTTCCCATTAAATCTTTATAATAATGATTATATGTGATTGCGCCGTATTTGTGGTAAATTATATCAGCATATGGACCTGGTGTAGAAACTGCATATTTTAACAGATTTGAAATCCTAGAAATTGCTAATTTGGTTTACATTGTTGCTGGAAGGTCTCTGACACTTATGTACCTGGAAATAGAAAGGGGGTTGGCATCTTTAACACACTGTAATGCAATTACATACTATAATTGTAAACGTGTGTTGATTTTTAGAATCAAAACGAAAATCTCCAAAAGATAAATCATTATACAAATTGGACAGACCAAAGATCGATGACAAGACCCCAGTAAAGACTGAAGTAAGTGACGTTAGTACCTAAGTTGTTTATGTAATGGTTGTCTATCTGTATTGTTTTTAGTTGTTGCTTATATTTATAATATTTATGTTCTGTTTTCATTGTTTCATGTATTGGTAATGTTGTCTTTCATCGTATTCCAGGAGAGAAATTAATTTATATAGATTGTGTTTTGCCTAGCCGTATCTTAACGGTTGCAAAATGACTCATCTAGCATTTTCACTGAAATGAACCAGAACTAAAAAAAAAAACTTCATTTCCACTATTAATTGTGAATATATTAATATGTGAATATATTATATATTTTTTTATTTTTAATTATTTTTTTCATAATGTAATATTTATAATTATCATGTTTTGTTTCTTTACATTTCTGACATTTGGGAACACGTGTAAAAGCTTATATTCATTTAGTTACTTTATGCTTAATTTATTGATATGTATTACATTAATTTCGTATCATATTTTTATTTTATCTGAATTTATAATTATCATATTTATTATATATTATTTACATTCTTCTTCTTCTTATTACTATTATTATAATTGTTGTCCTATTATATTTTTCTCTCAGATTAATTTCTATTCATCATATTCATTATTATTATTATTTTGTTTTTGCTGTGTTATTGTTACGGTGACTGTTATTTTCTTTCTATTGTTTTCAGAAGTGTGACATGTGTAAGATGGCTGTACAGGAGCTTGATACTCTATTAGAGAGCAATAAGGTAAGCACGATAATGCCTGCTACACTGGTTAGACATTTCTTAATATCAACCAAATGGACATAATCATATATTGGCTACAAGTCGTGATCTAAAAAATATTAAAAAATAAAAATAACGAAATTATGAGGGTTTTATTCTGTGAATGGCCACAGAAGTTGACTTTTACGCTCAAAATATTAATGGCTTTTCGCGTTATTTCGGTTATTAAGCATCCTTTTTTGGGGATGCCCGGTGGCCGAGGGGAAGACGTGTAGTGGCGTGAAGCTAGGCGATTAGGTGCCGTACGCGAGCGCCGGTTCGAGTCACGCACGCAGTACGTATTTACTATAATTAGACATAGTCTTTACCTTGCCGTTTATTCGGTGTTATTTGCTTACTTTACTTCCTATGTCGACAGCAACTATGAGTTTAAAAATGATATATTCTTAATCTTTAGGATGCAATTAAGAACTTTGTTGAATCCATGTGTGATCGTATTCCAGACCCGCACGGTTCACAGGTAAGTCTGACGCAAACGACCATATATTCACAACAATCCGGGGGTGTTCGTAATGAAGCCATGTTTGTCACTTAGGTCTATGTCGCGAATAATATGCATATGCTGTACACATACTAGTATGTAGATATTCGTGAAAGTCCAAACACCCTCGTAATTATACCTTGCTCGAATATCATTAGTTCAAAGCTCTTGTTGAGCCATATGGTTTTCATTTATTCTAGTCTAGTTATTCATAACTAATCCATTACATTTTCCGTGACCGCGCTCACTGTTTCCGTTATCCCGCTCACTGTTTCCGTTATCCCGCTCACTGTTTCCGTTATTGCGCTAACTGTTTCCCTTATCCCACTTACTGTTTCCGTTATCGCGCTCACTGTTTCCGTTATCATGCTCAGTTTCCGTGACCGCGCTCACTGTTTCCGTTATCGCGCTCACTGTTTCCGTTATCGCGCTCACTGCTTTCGTTAACGCGCTCACTGTTTCCGTTATCGCGCTCACTGTTTCTGTTATCCCGCTTACTGTTTCCGTTATCCCGCTCACTGTTTCCGTTATCCCGCTCACTGTTTCCGTTATCGCGCTCACTGTTTCCGTTTTCGCGCTCACTTTTTCCGTTAACGCCCTC